ACTGCCTATTTACAGCCAGTAAACCGTCTTTTAACGGTCAAGTTTCTCATGAAAATTTGATATATGAGAACGCAGTTTACTGGCAGTTTTTAGGCAGTTGAAAAACCACCTATTTACAGTGGTAAAATCATACCATCCGAACCATCAAAAAACCACCTAAAAACTGTCTGCACGGTCTAAAAAAGGCCAGTAAACTGCCTATCAACTGGCAATTAATCGGGAGTTAACTGGCAGTTAACTTGGCAGTTTTCAATGCCCTGGGTCCGTGCATCTTACGTAATTCGTCATTATAAAATGAAGAACATGCATAGTAGATTAAACTACCGTTTATATAAATTAACGTTGTTGTTTCAACGTTATTGTTTCAATTAACGTTTTACCTAGATTTGTAGCAATGTAAAAAAATAGGAAGCATCCTTGTAAATGTCAGTAAGGCAATATAGCGATACAATTTATAATTTGTAGGCTCATGAAACAATAGCAAATACAATAATGGAATTGAAGGAAAATTTGTCAGAAAAGATGTTGAACTGTCACAAAAAGATGTTGAAAGCTAGTTTAACTGGTTCAAAACATGAGAAAAAAGGTTTTCTCGAAATAACAGGGGATGGACAATCAATTGGTCGGGTTGTATTGGCTGTAAGTGAAATTAGTTTCTTTCACCCATAAGTATTTATCTGTTTTCTTTCTAGTTATTTAACGATATTGTGCCAAAAACAGCTGGTATACATATCTTCCATCTATACATAACTTCTTTTTTCTATACTTGACTCTGTATTTTTAGAAAATTTCCGTGCATTGTGCACTGGTGAAAAAGGTTTTGGCTACAAAGGTTCACCATTTCATCGTATTATACCAAATTTCATGTGTCAAGGTGGTGGTGAGTGTAAGCAGGTGAACATTGTATGTTTCTTAGTTTCTGACTTTTCTTATAGATATTATACATCATAATGGTTTTGGTGGTAAAAGTATCTATGGTGATACGTTTGATGATGAAAATTTTCAATTAAAACATACAAAAGAAGGTTTATTATCAATGGTTAATAAAAGTATGTAATTATTATATGTTGTCATCGTCAATAGAGAATAATTTCTCTGACTTGCTGTGATTAATTTTGCATCTGCTTTGAATGAGAAGATATTTAAAATAATGATGGTGAGACTCACAAATTTTATTTATTTTTCTGATTTATTCAGAGGCAGAGTGAGACATAGATTAGTTTTCTGCACGATTTTTGGGAAGTGCCCTACCTACTTTTTAATAAGATATATTGATTGTTTTTGTGTTAGTTTTCGGCTTTTTATGTGTTGTCGATTTTCCTACCAGTATTACCGCTAATAAAATCACTTTTTTTTACGTATTTTCGTCGTTTTTGCAAAAGAAAATGAAGTTTACTATCTGGTGTAATATAGCCTTTTAATTCGATTTCTAGGTAAAAATACAAATGGTAGTCAATTTTTTATTACAACTGCTATTACATCGTGGTTAGATGGAAAAAATGTTGCGTTTGGTGAAGTATTAGAAGGTTATGATGTAATTAAAAAAATTGAAGAATATGGTAAAGTACCCTTTCCTCTTGCCTCTGTTTCTTTCTCTTTTTATTATTTTTAATTATTTCCAGAATGTGCTGGATTTATAATTCTAGGTACGTGTGTTCGAATCTCAATCCTGGCAAACAATTATAATTGTATGTATCTGAGTGGTAAGTGATATTCAAGACGACACAACGCATGGGTGGCGTCCTGAAGCTCTGTATACATCTTCTGTAGAAGGTGCTGGAAACGAAAAATAATTTTTTCTAAACTGACCGTTAACGGCCGGCGTATTTACGGTGTAGTTACTGCCGTATTTGCGCCGTATACGGCTGTTTACAATGCAAATACGCCCGCAAACGGTGATTTACGGCGGTCGTATAGGACTGTATACGGTCGTTTACGGCAATCATAAAATGGACCTGGGAAGACCCTTTTATTATTTTATTCTTTGTTTTTTCTCTTTTCTTTAGGTAGTCCATCGGGTATAACATCGAAAAAGATTACTATAAGTGATTGTGGATTATGGAACTAAGCAAGTGAGGAATATTAGGTCAATAGCATTAAATATGAGGCATATAAACATTAAGATATGTGTTAAAATGTTGCGATCTCTCAATTCAACCTTTTTTCGAGCTTTTTCTGTAGTTTTGTATGATAGAGAAGAGTTTTGTAACATTGTTTACTTAATAATTAATTCAAATTAGGGTAATAAACATTATTATGATCTTACAAGCATAAGTTAGCAGCGCTAAATATTGAAAATCACTGTTCTAGTACAAGAAATGACTGATGGAATCTAAATGATCTGATGGAACTGAGAGTAAGATCTGGAAAAAGCAATCTGTTTTCTCCTACGATTGGGAATAAAGGAAATGGAATTATAGAATATTATTAATTAAAGAAAGTAAAAGAAGCAAAAGACGACGGATACTTTCGTTTTTTAACAAAATTTCTTATTGTTAATTAATGATAGAAATCATATGATGCAAAAGCAACTGATTTAAGGCGATAGGTTTATGAGATGAGGGTGATTTATACTGTTGCCACATTTTAGATTTCAATCTTTTAACGTAGTAGTTACTGTTACATTATGTGTCATTTTGTTTCTTTATTTTATTTGTGCATTATATTCGGTAATACACTTGTTTCATCAGTTAACATGATAGAATTTTCACGAAGTTTATTTTAGATTTAGTTATTCTAATATGGACAGTATTATTAATAGGATAATAATCGTTTATATATGGTATTGTACTTACACGAAGAAGGTCGCAGACTATACCGGTTAGGATTACACAACTAAATAAGACATCTTGTTAAGTTCTTCATATTGGTTTCAAATACGCAAACCACAGATGCAATGATGCATAGTTTCATTAAAAATCTACAGACAAAATACTTTTTCGACTAATCCGTACTCATAACAGACCATAGCCTATACTTGGAGAATTCTAGCTCTTCACAGGAAGTTTTGATAATATTCAAAAGAAATGAAATAGTTCAGTGATAGAGCAAGTGTTTCTCTACAAAAGTGCATAATTAACTTTACCAAACGTCCTGTAAAGAGCTAAAATCTTCCAAGTATAGGCTGTGGCCTTTTATGAGTACGGATTAGTCGACTAAGTATTTTTTGTCGATAGAGAATGCAAAGCTATTAACCATAGAAAGCGATCCTGATCAGTGGATGGTTAATATAGAAGAAAAAGGAATATAAATGCTGCTAAACTCTCAGTATACTCACATTGCTGCATGCATTTTTCTATATTTTCTTTAGAGTGATATTCGTCTGTTCATCAAAATTATATTCTACTTCTTCTGACTTAAAAAATATGGTTTACTCAATAAATCCATTCGTTGTAGCAGCTAAACATACTGACCAATTTTCTTGTTATGGTTGCTTTCCCTGGTACAGTTACACCCCACAATCTAAAACGTTCGTGGATCATACAGCGAGAGAGAAATCATAGAATTTCAGAATATTGTTGACACTTTACATGATAAATAAATTACTCACAATGATAACTGGAATCTGAAAAGGAAAACAGACACTATGCTTTTACAACTTTTTGTCTCTTCCGCTTATGAAGTCAGACTAAAAAATTGAGAGAAATATCTTCTTTTACTCATCTTCAAAGAGATCGACTTCATTTCTAGGTTTATTGATATCTCCGCACAAAACATTAGTTACTCATTTATCGTGTTATCTAATCAAACTTTCTGATCCTAAACAAAGATAAATGTTTTGGTCCTTTCCATTATCAATAGCGACCATTTTCTTTCCTTCTCATAACTCCCAAAAAAAAATCGAAATATAGGTAGCTGAAGAACTCCTTACAAAACATTACGTTGCAAAGAAAAATTATATTACGATCAGTCAACATAGGCATTTTCTCAATAGATATAATGTTTGGAACTGCTTTGGTTTTTCATATAACTAGATATATTAGTTTAAATATATGATACAAACTTTCTTTTAATAGCAGATAAGGGCAAAATCCCGCTTTTGTTTGCTACTATTATATTTTGCAGACAATAAGTGATCATATTCTGTCAGTTATTCCTACAGTTTTGCAAAAAGATTAGAACAACAAGTAGAGTCCGCGGAGGAGGCATTAACCTTCAAAAAGTTCAAAATCACCAGACATTTGTAAAGACAAAAAGCGAGAGCGAGATGTCGATTTGACAAAAAGAAATAAACCTCCTGATAGATTGCAAAGAATAAAAAAGAGTAGTTCGATTCACATCCTTTTCAGACGATCATTGATTTCATCACCATTATAGTCCAAAGGCCAAGAAGCAATCAAACCTATGACAGGAACAATAAGCTAAAAAACAACGCAAGGTAAAGCACTAACAAGTAGAACATTTCGACAAAAGAATTCACTAGCTCCAGTTTATACTTCATCCATTTGTAATATAAAATTCTTCCAAGCAGTTTTGAAAAGAACTAAATGTGTAATAAACTCAAGGAGGAAGCAGTTGAATTTAGTCCGTTAAATTCAAGTAAATTCAAAATTCACCTGAATTCATCCAAATTCACGTAAATTCATCCAAGTTCATCCATATTCGCGTAAATTCCTCAAAAAGTCAAGAAAACTTTACTTAAATTGAACGGAAGTTAGAGAGAGGGATGCTAGTTATCCTCCGAAATCTACAGTGATAACGGTGTGGGTATTAAACAGCCAATACTGTCAAGATTATCCTTGTAGCAGCGTTTAAATTTCTCTTTCCTTTCTACTATCGACGCCACGAATAACTCCAAAACCATAAAAGATAAAGACTTGCAATTCTCAACAATCAAAAGAAGACAGTTTAGCCTATGTTTTCGTGAGCAAAACCCTTTTGCGAAGCCATTCGAAAGACCGGTTTTCTAGGATATATTTGGAGAACCACTTCGGATCTCCGGAAAATGAGATACCAATCTATAAGTTTGCTTTTATAGATAGATAGTCCAACGTGTCCTCTCCAACATGGGAACTAAGCTAACTCTTAATTTTTCCTAGTTCACGCGTAGTATGGGATTTCTTGAGAGTCCGAGGATCAATATTTCTTTAGGTGTGGTAATTCCGAAAATAAATGCAAACATAGGTAATCGACCACGCTAAATATCGTGGCCATATTTGTTTCTCAAAACAGTTCCAAAAATCTGGTAAAAACCTATATTAGGTGAAATAACCTATTTTTGCCTGTTTTTGAGTAATATTAAACGATTCATAATACAT